TCAAGATGCCATTTGCAGACGTTGTGACGTCTTCAGCGAAGCTGGAAGGCACGGACGGAGTTGAGGAATCGTCACCAGGGTGCTGCTGCGGAGAATATCTGCGTTGCGGTGGACGTTGAAGAAGCGGTTGTCTTTGTTTCTGGATGAGCTCGTTCTCGGTGCGCAGCTGGCTATACAGTTGCTCAAGCCGTTGTTGTAGGATCTCTTGCTCGTCCATGGCGTTACGTCGCATTCGGATTCCGGGTCACCAAATATGGGATACCATGTCGAGAGAAGGGCGCATCCCAACATAAAACGTAACGACATCTATTAAGGAGGCAGCAGCAGCGGTGCAAGCCTACCAATGCCGTGCTGGAAAGGTTAAAGAAACGAAGAAGGAACTTAGCTTGGAATTTATAGGCAGCAGCGGTGACGTAAGCCTCCTGTTAAACTGTTGTGGCGCTGTATTTAATTCTTGGTATGTTGCAGCAAGTGGCCATGTCACGCTGGACTGATGAGTGACGAGAAGGTGTCTGCGCACATATCCGTAGCTGTTGACCCCTTGCTGGCGCCGGCCAGGAAAAAACGTGTTTTATTTGAACGGGTTTTTGAGTAGGTGAATATCGAAGACAAGTCCGAAATTTCGAGGCCCACCTTAAAGCTTTCTAACTTGTATGAGCGATTGCCTTTGTGTGCTACTACAGTAGAGCTCACACGAAACCAGTGTTAGTGTAATTGCTTGCGATGTTGACGTACAATTGTGCTAATTATCGTGCGCAAGTTTCTTCGTTGAGGTGTGCCCAGTTTCACCCTCCCCCTTGTTAAGAACACTTCTAGTACACTCTATTTTTGCTCAAACCCGAGAAAACAAACGTACTTTGCGATAGATGCAAACTGCAGATGAGCCTACGTGTGATGTGATGTGCACACGAAAGATCGGAAGTGCTCCGAGGCGAGGTTGAATAGAAAACGACGATGTCAGTTGTGCCGGTTCGGATAAGCGTGAACGAGGTGAGTGGAGAAAAAGACACGTGCGAAGACGAGGCAACGGAGAAAAAAGCGAAAAGCGTGTGGGCTCGAGTGCCACGTTGTTCGGAGGTGGTGTTCGTTTGGAAGGAAGCAAGTTGGTGGCGGTTCACCAAAGTCACGGTCGTGGTTATCCCCGAATGCCTGGCAAAGGTCAAGAGTCGGAGGGCCCTGCATCACATGACTTGAAGCTTCGATGGTCCATGGAGCCAGCGAGAACATACCGCAGCCACCAGGTCATGGTCGTGGTTTGTCCCGAGTGCTTGGCTGTGGTACCTGGTTCTCTGTCCGAGAAGAAAACTGCCTGCCTTCGTCGGCCCTGTCTTCGGCACCTACCTGCACCGTCCTGCCTGTATCTCAGCGTCACTTTGCTTTTCGCCGAATTCTTCGGACGACGACTTCCCCTTGTTCGTGTCTGCTCCCCGTGGACTTCTCCGACACTTCAGTAGCAATTATTGCGCATGTCTGGGGCATCATAACAACACGTATATATTCTGCATGTGCGTCTTTTACTAGAAAAGGCCTACATATGTAATTTTAAGGGCCGTAGAGCTTATCATGTTGCGCTGACTAAGCAACGCTTCCACGGAACGGGTGGTGTTTCCAACGCTTTGCTTAGACGCGACGGTGGTGGCACCTACCGTCACCTTGCGTTCTACACCTTATTTCCTCTGAGTTGTGCGCGCACACCCGTCTCAGAGCCACGCGCCTTGTTTTCTAAGAAAACTGCCAGATGGTGCTCATGTTTCACGTGTGATGTTACTTGATGCGCTTGTTCGCCTCCGCTGCACGCCCGAGGCATTCTATTTAAATATTAAGTCTAGATATTTTGTTAAGTCGGCTTTGTTTAGAATTGTGGAATTCATCTCATAATTACATTTGATTACTTGCTTTTTTGAGTTCATAATTCTGAGCTGATTTAGATTCAATAACTTTCACTTGTAGTTTAGGGGATTACTTGCTTTTTTGAGTTCATAATTCTGAGCTGATTTAGATTCCTTAATTTTAACTTGTAGTTTAGGGGCCATTCCTTGTACAGCTTTAAGAGTTTGGTTAACGGACGCCTGATAATTCTGGTTCTTATATTCACGGTATATTAGGTAATCTTCTGCAAAGAACCTAACAGTGTGTCGTCACTTATGTAACGAGCAATATCGTTTATGTATATAAAAAGCAGTGGTCCTGAGATGGATTTCTGCGGTAGGCCTGAAGGTATGTTCAGCAGATTCAATTGGATACCGTTCATTTCAACGTACTGTGCTCGACTTATGAGGTCTCAACAGATCCAGGCCAAAACTTCGTATTCATTTTCATTAGCTTATTTATTAACTTTGGGAGCGCAACCCGATCAACAGCCTTCGATAAATCTAATGATAAAGCGTCGATCGCTTTTCTGTTATTGATACTTTAATTGAAACGTCATGATTGTTTCTATCACATTTTTAGCAGTGAATAAGTATCGTATCGCCGCCGCGGTTGTCTAGTGGTTAAGGTACTCGACCGCTGACCGGCAGGTCACGGGTTTGAATCCCGGCTGCGGCTGCTCCATTTTTGATGGAGGCGGATATGTTGTAGGCCAGTGTGCTCAGATAGGGTGCACGTTGAAGAACCCCAGGTGGTCGTAATTTCTTGAGCCCTCCACTATGGCGTCTCTCATAATCATATGGTTGTTTTGGGACGTTAAACCCCACATATCAATCAAGTCAATAGGTATCGTCGAAAACCATGCTGATTAAAAAAAATTATAATTAACACGTATTTCATTATATAGCAAGCCTCACAATCTGGTTTGGCGCCTTCTTTGAATGCTGGGTTTAAAAAATGACACAAATCGCTTTGCCTATGATAGAATTAAATTGAGTCACGAAATCTCTGCCTAAATTGTTTATCAATTTTGAAACACCCAGCACACTCACCAGATTTCGTGTGTTTGTGACGTCGAAGAAGACAACAGCTGGTGTGTCATAGAAGAAACACTTTACTTAGCCGAGCTTGTATTCGACAAATTGAAGGTCAGACTACAGGGACACACACTGGCACTTATAGCGGAAAACAGAGCGTCAGTGGTGACGCGCGTCGATAATTACAGATGTGCCACCGAATACTACAACATTACCGCTAGTGGCCACGTAATTTCCAGAAGAATCTGCGATGTTTGCGTATTGCGTGTCATCATCGGAAGGTTCTACGATTATCTCGATTGTTTTTCTGTATATCGGCGTGGTTCCGCCAAGCAGCACCTAAACGTGTAATGAGTCGGTGTTTCTTCAATGATAACCAGTTCTAGCGCAGCAGGACGACAGGGATCATTCACGTTTGTGCAGAACTCAATCTTTGAGAATTTATTTAAAATGAATTATTTCACCTTGCTTAGACGACCTATTTGGTCACGTATATAGAAAAAATGAAATAACAAAATTCGTTCCAAGTTTTAGTTCCATGAAGAAAAGCGGTATTTTTTAACTGACCGGTTCTGGCATACTGGCGTTTGCAAAAAAGCGAGTCACTACTCTCGCCTATAGCTGCACGCCCATCAGCCCTATTGACACCTTGCCGAAATGACGCCACCTAGATTTCAGAGAATGAAAGAATACATTTTCAGCCATCTTGCTTTTTCGTTATCGGGGATTTAGGCGATTAGTATATTTTCTCACTGCTAAATAAGTAACCGTAAATATTGTGGCATAGTTTTCAGCTAAGGAGCTTTTGAACAGATGAATGTCAAAGACGAATGTCTGAAATTTTAAGACACATCTCAAGGCTTTGTAACTCTCGCGATTGCCTTCGTCGGTATAACAGTAGAGCTCACACAAAATGAGTGTTAGTGCATTTTTTTTTCAACTTCCGATACAAGTGACCACAGTGGCGTGCCCATGACGGTTAATTATGAGGTGTAAAGCTTCATCTCTCATCTTGATGGCTATATAGCGTGAGTGATTCACTAGACACGGGACAGGTACACACAAACACAAAAGTGCTAACTTTCAGCAATGCTATTGTTCAAACATTGTTGAACGTTGCTGCTTGGGTGTGCATGTGTGTACCTTTGTTGTGTCTTTTCGATCAGTTGCACTATATATTCATGCTTTACCAGCACGCCTGCTCATAAACCTTAGCAAGCTTCCTCTTCCCCCTGGAAAATCACGAAAAAACAAGACGGGCTTTGCGATAGATGCTAAAATCCAAATGAAGCCATGACCTTTTTGAGACAACAAGCTGCCTTCAGTCGCTGGTTTTCAGCTACCACAATAATCAATACGTAAGTATACATTGCTTCAACACTGCGCAAGTATTCAAGTTTGCAGATATATTGGTTGCGCTGAGATATTCGACTAATTTGCCAGCTCTACCATACTCTGTCCCCCTGTGCACATGCCTATCGGTGCGAACTGCGTCCTTGCCCATTACGTTTTGTCTTACTAGGGTAAGATTATAGACATGTGGTATTTCTCACATTCCTCAGGCTTCTTCAGCCACTGCGATGCAGCACGTACTATATTACTTTTCTTGAAATTGCAATGTATGGTGTAAACCGCATGTCCTAATTAATTTTTTTTAATGTCGAAAGAGTAATGTCGAAATGTCGGCAGGGACGTTAACCAGCCTATAGGCTGGTTAACCTCCCTGCCGTTCTTTTCCTCCTATTTTCCTTGACACTTTCCTTGCTCACATCTTTGATCAACGCTGCAATCAACGCTAATTGAGCTTCTTTCAATAATTATAAGAATAATTCGTCAGATTTTTGGGCCAAGAACGCGATGTTGTCGATTGAACCACAGTGGAGGGCTCCGGGCATTCTCGACAAAATCAGTGATTCTGACGTCACAAAAATGAACGAAACAATGTAAAAAGACCCCGTATAGTATTTTATAAAGTAGTGGGTTTCTTTCGAAGGCACATCAAAGCAAGTTGCACGACTTCGAGGGAATCAAAAGGCTTGTTTATTGCTCAGCTGTTTACGGCAGTGCACTGCCGTTTTTTCGACAGCCAATTTACTACCAAACTCGCTGCTGCAGCTGCCAGCCGTTGTTCCAGCCGTCGTTCCAGCCGTCGTTCCAGCCCGGGTAAAAACCACCCCAGGATCCACCCCAGGATCCACCCCAGGGTGCACCCCAGTTACCACCCCAAGGGCCACCCGATGGTCGGCCCCAGGGTCCACCCCATGGTAGACCCCAGGATCCGCCCCATCGTCCACTCCAAGATCCGCCCCACGGTCCACTCAAGTATCCACCCCCGTTGGGACGAAATCCACTTCCACCACCTGCAATAGGGCACATAAGATGGTTAGTTGTGGCCGTTAAGCAACTTTGATCATCACGGCTGTTTAGATCTTGTCAGAATGTTGCTGTCTCCTCTTTTTAGTTGACTCTCACTGAAAGCAGTTCTACGACAAAGCTTCTTCTCTACAACAAAGTTTTTCGTTGTTGTTGTTTAATTTTTATTTCCTTTTTTGTTTTTATAACTATTTGGTATTATTTCGTGTTCACGTCTTGCAACCAACTGCGTTTAATATTTCTAACACTTTCATACATAGCACTTTCTTGTCTCCAACACTGTGCAACGCATGTTTCCATGACTGTTGTTCTTTAAGCACTGCGCTTGAATCATGGCATGTCTTTTGATATCTGATTGATAATATGTAAGGCCGCTTGTAATGCCTTGTATAAGGCATGGTAATGAAGAGTGCTTAGCCGTACAACATAATGTGATTCGTTTACATTTTTGTTATCTTTTCTGAGTCTTCATGGAAAATGATATATTAAAAAGAAACTGCTCAGTGTAGGTATGTGAACACAATTGAGGATTGACTTGCTGGTCTGTCGCGTTTTCTATTAAACGCACATAGATGGTTTGACATTGCTTGTGCTATATAGAAGGTGCACCTCTAGTTTTTGCCAAGTATAAAAGTATATTGCGGTCATTTGCACCAACTCAACCAAATGCGTGTTGCTGGCTGTCACATAGAATTATCCACATTGTTTTTTGTTCTCCTTCATTGCTTATATGTGGAAGAATAACTATGTAACGTTTGTCTCTTTAGAATAGGTTGATAAAATTATTTCAGGAATGTTGTATATCAGATTGAAAAACGCAAAGGTATACTGTTTCAAGTTTTCTGCTTATTAAGTAATAGTGTTCCTCTGCTTTTTACAGATACTCACAAAATACAAAAAAAGCATTTTTTTCTGCAGTGCAATACACTTCAACTTCAGTAAAGCACCAGAATATGTATCTGCTGCTCAAGACTTCTCCTTTAAGGGGTCATGACACGGTCAACCGACTATTCATGGTTTTCTGAAGAGACTAGCGGTAGACGGTCTATTATGCCTACAAAAAAATATGAAAATTGCGTCATAAAAAATCATTTCAGTGCAAAGCAAGCCATAGAAGTCACCGGCCGAAGACTTCGCACACCGCCGGCATCCACCATTTTGCCATGACACGTGTGACGTCATGAGCTGGAACGAGCGGAGCTATATAGTCTTTTAAGGAATTTTAGCCGCTGCAAATCGTTCAATTTTCGTGCCAAGCAGGAGAAAGGTGAATTATCCCGATTTGAAGTGTAGCTGACCATAGAGAAATATCGTTCGCTGAAATACGGACGCTCGCAACGCTAGTCACCTGTTACGTCACTGCTCGTGGGTGCGCCGTGAAGACCGACTCTCAGGTATCGCGCGTGTTCATAATTATGTTCGATGATAAATTAGGCGCTCGAACAAATGAGCGAAAATATCGCCGTTTTGTTCGTGAAGGCACAAGGATTAACCCACTAAACAAAAATTATGATCGGAAATTAAGTGTAATGGTCTCTTTCAGCTGATTCTGCCATTATGTATGCCGAAACGATTATTACGTACCTCAACAAGTATAACGCAAACAAAAATCAAATCAGCAGTTTGTGCACAGTAACTTAGACAACGCAATGGGCGAAAGCCTGTAACACGCGATTGGTTTTCGTCGCTTTCATTTCTTTATCCGCCCTTTCCATTTCTTTGTCGTGCTTTGTTTCCTTTTAGCATCGTTTTGGTGGGGGCCGCGAAAACCGGTATTGCTAGAACAAAAGCCTCCGTGATCAAGTACCACTTTAAAACTTTTTCTCTACGTGAAGGGCGCATGCGCATTGACCCTACTGAAAAAGGCGGATCGTCCCTTAATTCCAGTGAATTTTCGTTCTGACAGTAGTACCTTGTGGAAACAAAAATTTCAAAACCACATGGAAATTTGAGCCGGAAAGAGCGAGCGTAGCTGTCTAAAGCACGCTTTTTGTTTTATTTTTTTACTAAGTACTTGTCAGTGGGGTTTCATTTAAAGTTACAAAACTATCTTTCATTGACTTCAAGTTGAAGTACTTCCTAATGTGTAGAACGCATAAAGTGTGATTTTCGCATGTGTTACGATAAATATTACTATAAAAAAGGGTAGACGATGCCGGACCACATTGTGTCCAACAAGTATTTTCTTTGTGAAGTGTTTGAAAGAGAATTACGTCAAGCCTGCATAATGTGGAGTAAAAAAAAACTGCATTGTATTAGGATATCAAGAGGTATCAAAGGCTTGTTTGACATATGACCTAAAAAGGTTTTGCATGTTCCGGCAGAATTTAGGCATGTAAGCAAGTTATTCCAGGAATATCACGTATTCAATTTAGGCAAACAAAATTATTTTCGTTAAAGGCATGTAGACATCGACGTCTTTCAGCAAGTAGTTAACTCCTGTGGCGCTCGGATGTGCGCATTTGGTGGGGCATCACGCGTAGCGTGAAATGCTTGAAATCTACAATACATTAGGATCTAGTTTTGATTCTACATAAACTTATAAGTTAGGATGTGACATTGTAACTGTGCTTACCGCCTGTGGTTGATCCAGACCCAGCTGATGGCGCCTGCACGGGCTGCTGCTGGACGGAAGCCACGGCGCAGACCGCGAAGGCAGCAAATGCGCACAATACCAAGAGACGTGCCATGGTTGCAAGTTCCGGCTTGGTGAAGCAGGTGAAGAAATTGGAGCTACCGGTGCGTCTTATATAGCGAAGCTCTGTCGCTGTCCGCCAATCATAGTATTGCATGTATTACGTGAGAATTTTCCAGAGAAATATGGCTCTTGGGCACATTGTCTGATTTCTGACACCTCAATCTATTGTGTGAGAAGAAACAGTTTTGTTAGTACTTTTAACAAACCGCTGACACGCTAAAGAAAACAGCGAATTGAAAGCTTGTTTACGTCTCAAGGATGAAAAATGATCTCTCTTTTGCGTCATACACATCAGAAATGTGTGGTGTTTGAATAATTGCGAAAAAAACTTTTTTAATAACAAAGTATGGTCAGTTTTCTTTTTTTTTTGCTGTAACCATGCTGCGATAAAAAAACGCAGTATATAGATCAATAAATGCAACTGAAATATTAGCAATGATTACGTTTCTTGTCTACAAATGGGCTACAGAGTAGCCATTTTAGTCCAAATATACGAGCTATTTAACTGAAGCAGCGTTTATATCTACAGCAACGATAGCAATTACATGGCCATACGAGGTGCAGTTATGCCGTCGACATCGCCGTAATCTTCCGAATAAAGCCGTAGTCTATACATCCCTCCTTGCGTCATGTGTTGTATTTGTATATGGTCATGTTCCATACTTTAAGTTTCGTGCGATTCAGAGAGGTCCGACTCAAGAGAGTTGAAATGTGCCGACCGGCTCCATCAAGCGATGAACGATGAAAATGTGCCGGTTGATGAGGGAGGGGAGGGGGCTGCGTTGTTCGGGAAGACACTGCAATCATTGATTCAATGTGCTCAATTAGACGAGCTATGCCTACTGATGTTATCGGGCTTACATATATTTGCGTGCGGCGCTGGCACCACACTATTCTCGCTGAAACACGAAACTAGACAGCACGAAAACACTTTCCTCAGTGTAGCATTCGTATTCCCTAACGCCAGCGTAAGGAACTTGTGGGTATACCTTGGGGGTGCAAACATAATACCAGGTATATTGCCGAAACGTGAAAGAAACATTAATATAGGCGCCGTCAGTATGGTGATGAATATGTTTAGAAGTTCCCCTCTCAACTGGCGTGTCCATCGGCACTAAAAGCTTCCGTTGCACGGAAGCTGTACAAAATATAAGAATGTATAACATATATGAATATGTTTAACGTGTAATGGACTTATGTTATCAATGCCGTATTTGCGAATGTACCGCAGATAGATGGTGGAATGGTTTCGCGTCGTACTCGTAAATCCAGCCACGATGGCACTGTGATAGCGGCCAGTCAAGCTCGAACAGAGCTTAATAAATAGGTTTCTATAATCCCGAGGAAAGCTACCGTGTATCAATTAGCCTGTTCAACTCAGCTATCAACATATCACTACCACCCGGATGCCGAGCCAGCATGAATCTATTTCAGGCAAAGCTGTCGGCTTACATTGACATGAAAAAAATGCAAGAGTGCGTGCCAGAGTGGCTGATGAGGTTAGTACCTCTGGTAGCCTTCAAGAAATTTCCAGGAGACAAAAAGCCCATGCGGGACCGATGGCATGTTTGTTTGTTTGTTTGTTTGTTCGTGTGTTTGCTTGTTTGTTTGTTTGTTTAGGTATGTGTGTAATTGGGAAAATGTATTTGTATTTTTTGTAAAACGTCTTTGTTTACATTGTCTGAGAGCAGCATTAAATAAAGAAAATTGTGACATTGGCTGAGAGGTGAAGTGTTTGTTTCCTAACCGAAAAGCCGGTGGTTCGAGTCCCGCTGTTTGCCTCATTTCCAACTTGTATTCATTAGAACCTTTACAGTTTGTTTTTTTTTTTTTTTCAAGTTTTGTCCCGTTGGATCTTGCGACCACTTCGCGGCATGAAAACCCCGTGTTTCCCGGTTCCATGTCAGCAAGTTGCCGCTAGGTGGAGTGTGACAAAATTGCAGACAAAAACATTTCTGTTCCGATTGTTACGAGTTAAGAAAAACATAAAGAAGAAGATCCTGAGCCACACATTGCAGGTTGGAAAGGACGGTGTGACACTGGCTGAGAGGTTAAGTGTTCGTTTCATAGCTTAGAGGTCGGTAATTCGAATCTCACTGTCCGCGTCATTTCGAAATGGAAATGTTTTCTCTTTTCTGAAATTTTGTCACTTTGCATTTTGTGGCCACTTTGTGGCAGGGGAACCCTGAGGTTCCCGTTTCCTTGTCGATGACTCGCCGCTAGGTAAAGTATGACAAAATTTCAAAAAAATTTTTTTTTGTTCCTAATGAAGCTGATAGTCGGATTCGAAACACCGACCTGTGGGTATGGAACGTACACCTAACCCCTCAGCCATTGTCACAGAGCGATATACAACCAGCAATGCTATACTCAGAATCTTCATCTCGAAGATCTTTCGAAACTGATAACCGCATATGACCTTCAAAAAAACTCAAAAATTTTCGCCTGAATCGGCAAATTGATGTAACTATACTGGCTCCGACATGGAAACGAGCCAAGTAATATCAACTATGAGCACAAACCTAGTCGTGTGTTCTTTCCGTAAATGGAAGGGCACTGGTTCGAATCCCACTGATGAGAAACACAGTGGGAGTCCAACCAGGACCTCCGGAGTATGAGATAAACACGAAATTAAACACTGCGCAGCGATGGTCTATCTACGCGCACTTTCCGAGTTAAAAGTTTCCCTCGTACATTGGCTTCACCGCACGAATGGCCAAAAACGATCGAAAAAAGTTTAGCCTCTTATCACCCCTAATGAAGCCCAACTACTGTCTGACACCACACCTTGCAGTTAGGCGCCATCTATGCGCACTTTCCAAGTTAAAAGTTCCCCGTGTACATGGCTTCACAGCATGAACGGCCAAAAACGGTCGAAAAATGTTAGCCCCTTATCACCCCAGATAAAGCTCCACTTTTCTCTAACGTCACACCTTTGCGCAAACAATGGACTCACAAAATCCGTTTCAAATTTTCGTACGAGAAAAATTAGTATTTTTCAACTCATGTGCTCTGTCACACTGGCATTGTTAGAAACCGAATTCCCACTCCCGTTTATAGCTGAACGCCTATCAGTCCTCTTGACACCCTATAGAAATGACGCCGTGCAGATATTCCAGAGAATGATACAAGAATTTTTCAGGCATCTTGCTTCCTAGTTATGTGTGACCTTGGCGCTTATTATTCCTTTACAGCTAAATAGGTAACGTAAATCTTATGGCGTAGCTTTCAGCAAAGCAGTTTTTGAACGGGTCAATGTCGAAGACTATTGCCTGAAATTTCAAGACACATCTTAAGGCTTCGTAACTTAGGTGGGTGCCTTCGTCGGTAATGCAGTAGAGCTCACATGAAATGCGTGTCAGTGCAATCTCTTTTGAAGTTTCCGTACAATTGCGCACATTTCTATGTGCATGTTTCTCCATTATGTGGTGTCATGTTTCAACTCTCCTTTTGTTGACTATATAACGTGACTGATCCATGGCACACGGGAGAGGTACATACAAACAACAAAGTGGTAACATTCAACAATGCTGTGTCTGAAGCAATGTTGAAAGTTAGTAGTTAGTGCTTTGGTAAGCATGTGTTTATCTGTCTTGTGTCCCGTCGATCAGTTGCACTATATAGCCTCATTTCCCAACACGTCCACTCAACTTTAGCAAGCTTCATTTCTCCCCTATGATAAATAAAAAAACGGGATTTTCAATTGATGCAAAAATACAAATGAAGCCGTGAGATCTTTGAGACAACAAACTGTCTGCAGTCGCAGGCTTTCCAGGTAATAATGTGCGAAGAGGACAGTTCTTGATATGCTATACCAGTGGTTCTTAGTCACCACAAACATGATAAATCAGCATCGCCACAACCATGGGCACTCAAGTATGATCATAGGGTTACTCTGAAAAAAAAGTTTGGATAACTTGCCGGCTGAACTGTACGCTGTACCCCCTGTGCGCATGCCTATCGGTATGAACTGCGTCCTTGCCCTTCACGTTTCATCCTACTTGGTTAAAACAATAGACACGTGGTATTTCTCACAATCCTCAGGCTTTTTCAGCCAGTGCAATGGAGCACGCACTTCATTACTTTTCTCGAAATTACGAATTAGGGTATATCTGAAAGGTACCTGAGTATATCTTGTTTTGCAATTTTTGAAGGATGATAGGTTTGCAAGAATTATCGTATTTTTCTAACTATACTAGCATCTGATGTCGGTTTTGCGCAACCTTCACCATCCACATCTCACACCAACGTGATCTCACTAAAAGGCGGCCACTGCGTTTTTCTGTCCTTGTAATGATTGTAATGACTTGGGCATATCGCATTTGTGAAGTTATAAAGTGAAGAGATAGTTGCTCGCAGCCTAATCAACGCTGCCACATTTGCTCTTTGAGTTTGATCCAGTAATAACATAAGCGAATCTTAAGACTTCTGTGCCAAGAACTTGGTGTTATTGATCAGACCATACTCGATGTTATTGATCAGACAAAAAAAGGCAGTAATTATAGCGTCGTAACAATGAACGAAACGATAAATAACTAGTTTTACAAAGTATTAGGCTTGTTTGAAAGGCACATCAAAGCAAGTTCCATGACTTCGAGGAGATTCGAAGGCTTGTTTATTTCTCAGTCATTCACGACAGTACACTGCCATTTTCTTGACAGCGAACTTACAGCCAAATTCGCTGCTGAAGCTGCAAGCCGTTGTTCCAGCCATTGCTCCAGCTCGGGTAAAAACCACTCCAGGATCCACCCCAGGGTGCACCCCAGTTTCCACCCCATGGGCCACCCCATGGTCGGCCCCATGACCCACCCCATGGTAGACCCCAGGATCCACCCCATGGTCCACTCCAAGGTCCGCCCCATGGTCCACCGAAGTTTCCACCCCAGTTTCCACCCACGATGGGACGAGATCCACTTGCAACAACTGCAATAAGGCACATAAGATGGTTAAATGTAACCGTTAAACAACTTTCATCGTCAGGGCTATTAAGACCCAGAAAGAATGTTGTCTTTTCTTTTTAGCTGACTCTCGCGCAAAGCAGTCCTACGACAAAGCTTCTTCTTTTCAATCAAGCTTTTTCTGTTTTGTTTTTTTATTTGCCTTTTTTCTTTAATTTTGAACTCCGATATGACTTTGTGTTCACGTCTTGGAACCAGCCACGTGTAATAATTCCAACACTTTCATACATAGCACTTTCTTTCTGTCCAACACTGCGCAACGTATATTTGCTTGACTGTTATTCTTTAATCACTGCACTTGTATCATCACATGCCTTTATGATATCTGTTTCATAATATGTGAAGCCTTACGTACTGCCTTGTATAAGGTCTTTAAGGTTTCAATTAGGGATGATAATGAGGGATTAACTGTGCAAGCATACATGTGACTTCCTTTACATTTTTAAATCCTTTGTGCGTCTTTACGGAAAATAGTAAATTAATGAAAAAGAACCCGGACACTGCGTGTACGTGAGCGAGATTGAGAAATGACTTGCCTGTCTGTCACGTATTCCTTGAAATGCACATATTTGTTTTGCCATTGCTTGTGCTATATATGCTATTTTTACAGCTAAGTTTCGCTATAGATATAAAAATGGACTAAGGCCTTTCGCGCGGACTCAACCGAATGCGTTTTATTGGCTGTCGTAGGGAGTTACCTAAAACGTTTTGTGTCCTGCCTAATTGCTTAATTACTAAAAATAACTATGTAACATTTGAGTGAGTGAAGTAGGATGATAAACTTATTTTAAAAATGTTGAATATCGGATTGAAAAAAACGTAAAATTTTATTATTTTAAACTTTTTGTTTATGAAGTATAAGTGGTCTTTTGCTTCCTACACACACCCGCAAAATACAAAAATATCAACTTTTCTCCAGCACAGTGTACTCCGATTTCAAAAGAGCACCGGAATATGTATCTGCTGCTCAAGACTTCTCTTTAAAAGGGGCCACGACATGGCCACCCGACTATTCGTGGTTTTCTGCAGAGAATAGAAGTAGAGGGTCTATTACGCCAAAAGTGTGCCATAAAAAGAATTTCAGTGCAAAACAAGTCACGGAAGTCCCCTGCCGAAGACTCCACACACTGTTGGAACCTGCCATTTCACCGCGGCGCGTGTTACGTCATGAGCTGAAAGGAGCTGAGCTGTAGCCTTTAACGAATTTTAGCCGCTGTAGATCGTTCGATATCGGGGCCAAGCTAAAAAAAAAGCCAAATTATCCCGATTTTACGCGAAGCTGACCACGGAGAATATCGTTCGCTGGAATACAGACGCTCGCACAGCTATTCACTTCTTACGTCACTGCTCGCGAATGCGCCGTGAAGCCCAACTCTCAGGTAGCCTGCGTGTTTATAAGAATGTTCGGTGATAAATAAGCAAAAATTTAACTTGCTTGTTTGTGAACGCATAAGCATTGTCCCACGTAACACATTCTAAAATGAAAAATTGCGGTTCATATTCTCTTTAAGACGGTTGTACCATTCCGCATGCCGAAAGAATTCTTACTTCAGCAATTATGCAGCCACTAACACTAAATTAGCAGTTTGTGCACAGTAACCTAGACAACGCAAGTGGGAGAAAGTCTGTAACACGCGATTGCTCTTCGTCGTTTTCATTTCATTATCCGCCCTTTTCATTTCCTTTTCGCGCTGTGTTCGTTTCTAGGATCTTTTCGGTCGGGGCTGCGAGAACTGGTATTGCTAGAACAAAAGCCTCCGTGATCAAGTGCCGCTTTAAGATTTTTTTTTTTCGCAATGGGAAGGGTACCTGCGCAGTGACCCTAGTGAAAAAGATGGAGTGTTTGGTATTTCGAGCGAATTTTTATTCTAACAGTAGTACCTTGTGGAAATAAAAATTTCAACGCCGCACGAAAATTCATGCTGGAAAGAGCAAGCTTAGCTCTCAGAAAACACGCTTTTATTCTTTTAATTATTTTTTACTGAGTGCATGTCAGTGGGGTGTCATTTAAGTTTACTAAACTATCTTTCATTGTCTTCAAGCTGAAGTACTTCCTAATGTGTTGAACGCATAAAGTGTGATTTTAGCATGTATGACGTTAAATAGTATAAAAAAAGCTAGACGATCCCGGACCACAATGTGTTAACAAGTATTTTCTGTGTGACGTGTTTGAAAGAGAATCATAAAAAGCCTGATTAATGTGGAGTAAAAAAATCCTCCATTGTATTTGGATATCAAGAGGTATCAAAGGCTTGTATGACATCTGAGCTAAGAAGGTTTTGCATGTTCCGGCAGAATTTGTGCATGTAAACAAGTTATTATAAAAATATCACATTCTCCAATTAAGTAAACAAAATCATTCTTGTTAGAGGCATGCAGACATGTCGACGTCTTGCAGCATGTAGTTAACACTTATGGCACTCGGATGTGCGCACTTGCATGGGCATCATGCTAGCGTGAAATGCTTGAAATCTACAATACGTTATGTTCTAATTTTAAATATAGACAAACTTCTAAGTTTGAATGCAACACTGTCACTGTACTTACCACCTGGGGTTGATCCTGACCCAGCTGATGGCGCCTGCACGGGCTGCTGCTGGACGGAAGCCACGGCGCAGACCGCGAAGGCGGCAAATGCGCACAATACCAAGAGACGGGCCATGGTTGCAAGTTCCGGCTTGGTGGAGCTGGTGAAGAAATTGAAGCCACTGGTGACTCTTATATAGCACAGTTTTGTCGCTGTCCACCAATCATTGTATGGCATGTATAACGTGAGAATTTTCTAGAGAATGTGGCTGTTGGGCACATTGTCTGATTTCTGACACCTAAATCTATTGTGTGAGAAGAAACAGTTTTGTTTGTACTTTTAACAAACAGCTGACAAGTCAAAGGCAACGGCGAATTGAAAGCTTGTTTACGTCTCAAGGATGAAAAATGGTCTTTATTTTGCGTCATACACATCTGAAATGTATGGCGTTTGAAAAATGGCAAAAAAAAAACTTTTTTATTAACAAAGTATGGTGAGTTTTCTTTTTTTGCTCTAACCATGCTGCGATAAAAAAAACGCAGAACATAACTAATTGAATGCAACTGAAATATTAGCAATAGTTACTTTTCTTGTCTACAAATGGACTACAGCGTAGCCATTTTAGTCCAAATATACGAGCTATTTAACTGAAGCAGCGTTTATATCTACAGCAACGACAGCAATTATAAGGCCATACGAGGTGCGGTTATGCAGTCGACATCGCCGCAATCTTCCGAATAAAACCTTAGTCTATACGTCTCTCCTCGCGTCATGTGTCGTATTTGTATATGGTCATGTGCCATACTTTATGCGTCGTAGAATTCAGAGGGGACTGGCTAAAAGAGAGTTGAAATGTGCCGACCGGCTCCATCAAGCAAAGAACGATGAAATTGTGCCGGTTAATGGGGGGGGGGGGGGGGGGCGCTGCGTTGTTCGGGAAGACACTGCAATCATTGATTCAATGTGCTCAGTTAGACGAGCTATGCCTACTGCCGTTATCAGGCTTACATATATTTGCGTGCGGTGCTGGCACCACACTATTCTCGCTGAAACACGAAAGAAGACAGCACGAAAACACTTTCCTCGGTGTAGCATTCGTATTCCCTAACACCAGCGTAAGGAACTTGCGGGTATACCTTGGGTGTGCAAACATAATACAGGTATAATGACGGAAAGTGAGAGAAACATTAGTATAGGTGCCGTCAGTCTGGTGATGATTATGTTTAGGCGTTCCCCTTTCAACTGGCGTGTCTATCGGCACTAAAAGCTTCCGTTTCGCGGAAGCTGTACAACATATACTGATGTATAACATATATGAAGATGTTTAACGTGTAATGAACTTATGTTAGAATTGCCATGCTTGCTAATGTACCGCAGATAGATGATGGAATGGTTTCGCGTAGTACTCGTAAATACAGCCGCGATGGCACTGTGATAGCGGCCAGTCAAGCTCGAACAGAGCTTAATAAATAGGTTTCTATAATCCCGAGGAAAGCTACCGTGCATCAATTAGCCTGTTCAACTCAGCTATCAACATATCACTACCACCCGGATGCCGAGCCAGCAAGAATCTATTTCAGGCAAAGCATGTTTGCTTACATTGACATGAAAAAAATGCAAGAGTGCGTGCCAGAGTGGCTGATGAGGTTAGTACCTCTGGAAGCCTTCTAAGAATTTTCGGGAGACAAAAGCAGCCCATGTGGGACCGATGGCATGTTCGTTTGTTTGTTTGTTTGTTTGTTTGTTTGTGTGTGTGTGTGTGTGTGTGTGTATGTGTGTGTGTGTGTGTGTGTGTGTGTGTGTGTGTGTGTGTGTGTGTGTGTGTGTGTGTGTGTGTGTAATTGGGAAAATGTATTCGTATGTTTTGTAACACGTTTTTGTTTATATTGTCTGAAACCAGCAATAAATAAAGAAAAATGTGACATTGGCTGAGAGGTCAAGTGTTTGTTTCCCAACCGAAAGGCCGGTGGTTCAAGTCCCGCTGTTTGCCTCATTTCGAACGACCCGCCGCGGTGGTCTAGTGGCTAAGGTACTCGGCTGCTGGCCCGCAGGGCGCGGGTTCAAATCCCGGCTGCGGCGGCTGCATTTCCGATGGAGGCGGAAATGTTGTAGGCCCGTGTGCGCAGATTTGGGTGCACGTTAAAGAACCTCAGGTGGTCTAAATTTCCGGAGCCCTCCACTACTGCGTCTCTCATAATCATATAGTGGTTTTGGGACGTTAAACCCCACATATCAATCAATCAGCCTCATTTCCAAGTGCAATTTGTTAGAGCTTTTGCAGTTTCTTTTTTTTCATGTTTTGTCACGTTCGATTTTATGATCACTTCGCGGCATGAAAATCCTGTACTTCCCGGTTCCATGTCAGCAAGTTACTGCGCTAGGTGGAGTGTGACGAAATTGCAAGAAAAAAAAACATTTCTGTTCCAATAGTTACGAGTTAAGAAAAACATAAAGAAGAAGATCCTGAGCCCAACATTGCAGGTTGAAAAGGATGGGGTGACACTGGCTGAGAGGTTAAGTGTTCGTTTCATAGCTGAGAGGTCGATGGTTCGAATCACACTGTCGGCGTCATTTCGAAATGAAAATGTTTTTTTCTTTTCTGAAATTTTGTCACACTGCATTTTGTGGCCACTTGGTTGCAGGGGAACCCTCAGATTCCCGGTCCAATGCCAACGAATCACCGCTTGGTAAAGTGTGACAACATTTCAAACAAAATTATGTTCCCAATAAAGGCGATAGTAGGATTTGAAACACCGACCTTCTGGTAGTCTTGGTATGGCACAGTGGTTAGTGTCTCCGAATGAAAATCCGCAGGTTGCACGTTCGATCCTCTGTGGCACCTTTTTTTTTATCCCGGCTGCGGCGGCTGCATTTCCGATGGAGGCGGAAATGTTGTAGGCCCGTGTGCTCAATTTTGGGTGCACGTTAAAGAACCCCAGGTGGTCGAAATTTCTGGAGCCCTCCACTACAGCGTCTCTCATAATCATCTGGTGGTTTTGGGACGTTAAACCACAAATATAATATTATAATGACCTTCATGTATCAAACGTGCACCTAACCCCTCAGACAATGCCACACAGCGATATACAACCAGCAATGCTATGCTCAGAATCTTCATCTCGTAGATCTTTCGAAACTGATAACGGCATATGACCTTCAAAAAAACTCAAAATTTTCGTCTGAAGCGGCAAATTGATGTAGCTATACTGGCTCCGACATGGAAACGAGCCAAGTAATATCAACTATGAGCACAACCCTAGTCGTGTGTTCTTTTCGTAAATGGAAGGTCACTGGTTCAAATCCCACTGATGAGGAACACAGTGGGAGTCCAACCAGTGACCTCTTGGCTATGATATAAACACGTAACTAAACACCATGACGTGTTGGCCATCTATGCTCACTTTCCGAGTTGAAAGTTCCCCTAGTACATTTGCTTCACCGCACGAATGGCCAAAAACGGTTGAAAAAAGTTTAGCCTCTTATCAACCCCGATAAGGCCCAACTTTTGTCTGACGTCACAACTTGCAGTGATGTGCTATCTATGCGCACTTTTCGATAAGGCCCAACTTTTGTCTGACGTCACAACTTGCAGTGATGTGCTATCTATGCGCACTTTTCGAGTTAAAAGTTCCCCTGGTGCACTTGCTTCATCGCACGAATGGCCAAAAACGGTCGAAAAAAGTTTAGCCTCTTATCACCCCCGATAAGGCCTTTCATTTGTCTGACGTCACACCTGACGTCACACGTTTGTTGTATTACGTCTTCTCGAGTTCCGAAAGATCTAAAAGACGAAGATTCTGAGCCGAAGATTGGAGGACACAAATCCCGTTGTGACATCGGCTGCGAGGTAAAGCGTTCGTTTCTTAACTGGATCGAATGGAGTGGTTTGAATCCTGCTGGCTGGTTCGTTTCAAACTTAAGAATTTTTAAAGACAATATTTTTTTCTTATATTTTGTCACACTCCACCTAGCGGCAACTTGGCGGCACGAGACCGTGAAGCCCGAGGTTCCCATGCCGACAAGTTGCCGCTAGGTTGTGTGTGATGAAACTTCAGAAAAATTAAAAAAAAAATTTGTTGGAAACGAACCCTACAATGGGATTCAAACCACCGACCTTCAGGTTACAAAACGAACACTTAGCCTTTCAGCTGATGTCACACCATGATTTGCAACCTGCAAAATTAGGCTCAGGTTCTTCGTCTTTTAGATCTTTTTAAACTGATCACGGCATATGACCTTAAAAAAAACTGGAATAGCACTTCAACTTGAATCAAATGAAGATAGTTTCGTAAATTTAAATGACACCCCACTGACAAGTACTCAGTAAAACAATAAAATAAAAAACGTGTATAGACAGCTAAGCTCGCTCTTTCCTGCTCAAATTTCCATGTGGCGTTCAAATTTTTGTTTCCACAAGGTACTACTGTCAGAATGAAAATTCACTGGAATTAACGGACGATCCGCCCTTCTCAGTAGGTCATGCGCATGTGCCTTTCCCGTAAAGAAAAGAAAAGTCTTAAAGCGGCACGTGATTTCGAAGGCTTCTGCTCTCTCAATAGCGGTTCTCGTGGCCCCTACCGAAATGATGCTAAATAGAAACAAAGCACGACAAATAAATGAAAATGATTGATTGATATGTGGGGTTTAACGTCCCAAAACCACTTTATGATTATGAGGGACGCCGTAGTGGAGGGCTCCGGAAATTTAGACCACCTGGGGTTCTTTAACGTGCACCCAAATCTGAGCACACGGGCCTACAACATTTCCGCCTCCATCAGAAATGCAGCCTCCGCAGCCGGGATTCGAACCCGCGCCCTGCGGGTCAGCAGCCGAGTACCTTAGCCACTAGACCACCGCGGCGGGGCGCAGATAAATGAAAAGGGCTGATAAATAATTGAAAGTGACAAAAACAAATCGCGTGTTACAGTCTTTCTCCCATTGCGTTGTCTAGGTTTCTGTGCAGAGATAACTGTTGATTTAATTCCAGTTAACTTTATATTTGTTGAACTAATAATTGTTTCAGCATGCAAAATGGCAGAATCAGCCTAAACGGACCATTGCACTAAATTTCCGATCATAACCTTTGTTTTGTGGGTTAATCCTTGTGCCTTCGCGAAGAACATGGCGAAATTTTC